CGTCGATGCTACCGACATCTCGAGGACCCCTTTTCGATCCCACTCGTGCTCCCGCGTTACTGACGAGAGAGAGAATCCCGTGTCCACCGAAAAGTGGGCATACTACCTGCGACGATGCAGTGAGAGCTTGCACCCAACGTCAGGCACCTTCTGTTGGTTGGTTACTCGCCGAGAAGCCGGACGGGGGACGATAACGATATCCCTGAGCTTCGCCGGGACTCGGGCGAGTTGTGTTTGTGGGATGGCGTCACCGGCGAGCGGTGGCGTGTCACATCGGCCACGACACAGAACGTATTCGAGGTCTTGTGGCATCCATCGCAGGACTGTTTCATCGCTGCCACGTCGCCGCTAGGTCTTGAACTGGAACCTAGTGTGCATACGCAGATCAGGATCTTCCGGCCCGCTGATCAAGACGAGTTTGGTGTCAAAGCGTATAGCCCCATCAAAACGCTCGACTGCACAGCAGTTGACATCAACGAATTAACAATCATGTAGGTTTTTTTTTTTATTTTTTTGGTTATTTTACTTGGTGGTATCTAAAATCGGCCCTACTAACTCTTGCTTCTTTTCTAGGCCAAACAGCTTCTCGTTCTGCTACGTCACTTAGCTGGCTGCACGGATGGCAACACGTACGTATGGGACACAGCTCGGGGCGACAAGCCCATTCACGTCCTTCGGCACGGACAGCCGATTGACGAATACCGGGGAGATCGGGAACGTGAAGACGTTGGAGTGAAGTTTTGCGCGTGGGGAACCACCCCAGATCGGTTCTACACCGGTTCGTCTGATGGAGTGGTTAAAGTCTGGAACATCCGCTCCCTGAGCAAGCCACTCGTTCGAAATCTCATCCAGGCCCCGGCGCCTATAACAGCAGGCATGTTCTGCCCGGACAAGACGCGCCTCGTCGTTGGGGACGCTAGTGGCCGCGTCTTCATGTTCTCTATACAAGAGGAAAAGGAGCAGGCGATGTCTTCTACCCAGGTCCCATTGCCAGGCGCAGCGGGTTTTAAAACAATCCAGCGTCCACCAGCCATTACTCCCCACCCAGACCCTCCGGCGCCGACCCACGATGCAGAGGGTCGCCTCATTGTATCGGAATCGGGGTTCTATGATAGGCCGAGGCTACCTTAATAGCCTACACCTCGAACGACATTTCAATCCCCACAATTGGCGTTGTACAGGGCCCACGGTACGCCGAGACAGGCCTATTCCGACGAGATATGCATTTCAATGAAGACCCAACCCAGCCGTTGCTTGCGCAGTGGGAGGCTATGCAGCAAGAAGCCTGGGTACCCTCGTGGCGTGTTCACGAGTAGGCGGTGGGACCAAGGTAAATGTACTTAGGCCGTTGAAGGAAGTGCAGAATCTCGAAGAAAGGCATATAAGGAATAAGGCCTTAGATCTTGAGGTTGAAGCCTTGACTATGGAAACTCCTACTTGATCTCGATAGAGATGGGGTTGACTTGGGATTAGACAGATGACTATCTTCTCAAAGAGGAAGAGTGATCTACTATTGGG